GTCAGCAGCCAGACTTACGGGGAGCAAAGAAATCGCCCTCAACTAAAGTGCCTGGGGCCTGGGGGCATCTTGCATAGGCTCTTCCACACTCAGAACTGTTCCTTCTCGCCTTTCCCTCACTGCGTACCTTGATTTCACTTGATTGGAGTTTATTGACAATGTGCTATGCTGGGCTGTGCCTAGTCGCTCAGTCGTGTCCAGCTCTTAGCAACCCTCCCCATGAACTGTAGCCCACCAGGCTCCTCTGTCCATGAGATTCTCCAGGCAAGAATACTGGAGTGGGCTGCCATGCCCTCCTTCAGAGGATCTTCTTGAACCAGAGATCAAACCCACGTCTCTTACATTTCCTGCACTGACAGGCAGGTTCTTTACCACCAGCACCACCATTCACCAAACAGGGTCTCCCCCGCCTTCCTATGATGACTTCTCCAGACCTCCCAGGGTCGCGCCATCTTGCATGAAGCGTCCTTCCCACTCCAGGGGTTTTGTCCGCCATCTCACTCTGCCCAGTCTCTCCCTCCCCATTCTCCCCAGTCTCCTAGCCCACACCCCCAGTTAAATCCTCTCTCTAGATTCCTCTCAACGGCATACAGGCTTTCTCTTACATCTTTCAGTTTTAAAATAAAAATCTCCTGTATCCTAAATACCCACTTCAGCTGCTCCCTCTTTCTCGGCTCCATTCATTCCCCAACTCGAGCCCACCCCGGTCGTCTCTAATACCTTGCCTCCCTCGTGCCCATTCCTCAGTCAGCTCCAGCCTGGCCTTGGTGCAAACGCACCGAGGACAGTGACAGCACTCTTCAGGGTGTTCGCTGACCTCCATTGCTCTGTGCCTTTCCAATTCAAAGGCTCACGTGTTCCAGTCTTCGGGCACAGGTCCTCTTGCAAGCCGTCTCCACTCTTGATTCCAAACGTTCCCCCCTCTGGCTTCCTTCCTACTCTTCTGGCTGCCAATGACCCAGAACCCCACAGTGTACTGTTCCCAACTCCTGCTCCGGCTTTTGAAACTCTTTTGTTTTCTCTGGGCAGACTTCCCTTACCTAGTCTCATTCACTCATGGATTTAAATACAGTTAATAGACCATTGATGAACAAATAGCTCACCTCCAGCCCAGGTTGCTCACATATCATTATCCAGTTATCTCTACTCGACATCACCCCTCTGTCTCTCACAGGCATCTCTATTTTTGGTGTGTCCTAGGAAAGACCCTGACTCTTCCTCCCAAACCTGTTCCTCCCTCAAATTTCCTTGATTCCTGCTTTTCCTCACCTGCCACATACAGTCCTTGGGGATTCTATCCACAAAACAGATCTTGATCCGTTCATGTCTGTGTCTTTGCTACCACCTCCCAATTTCAAGCCCCCTATCTCCTTCCAGGAATGCTACAGTAAACCTCCTAATGATCTTCCTGCTTCCTCCAGCCCTCACCTCACATGGTCAGATAGTGTTCTGAAATATATACTGCATCATCATTCCCTTACTTAGGAGTATTAGTCACTTCCCATCAAGCCCTGAATAGCAGACACGGTTTGCCCTCTGCCAGCTTCATCTTGTAGCCCTACCTTCCTTCCTGACTCAGCTTCCTCCACCGTGGCTTACTGATTGTGAGGTTCACCAAGCTCTGTCCGGCCCCAGGGCCTTGACACTTGCTGTGTCGAATGCTCTTTCCTTGTTCTTCACCTGACTGGCCCCTTTTTATTTTGTATGCCTAAACATTACTTCTTCCTTGACCAACTATCTATGTCTTCCTTCTCATTCCTGATCTCAGTCCCCTATTTGCTTTCTTCATAACACATTACATTTTGTGGTTACCTACTTGTTTACATCTCCATCTTCCCCACTCAACTCTAAACCCCCTGAGTCCAAGAACTTTGTATCTGTCTTACTCACAGATGAACCCAGTGCCTGGAAAATATTAGGCTGTTAGTACATTACGTGAAATAAGGGAATGAAGGAACGGGAAGGGTCACAACTTCCACTCCACCCTACCTGCTGTTTTCAAGACCTCGGTGACTCCCACACGGCCAAGCCACTGGACCACATCATGTGCTCATCTTACTGGATTATGGAATAGAGACAGGGGAGCATCTTGGGTTCATTTATTCCCTGTTAACCTCGTCAGGGTTTACCAACATGTTGGATTCGCCACAATATCTCCAGCGCCCTGTACAGCAGACTCCTCATAAATCCTGTTGGTTGAATGAATATCTCAGCTCTGAATGAAACAGGCTGTGAAAGGAAAGGGATCTAGTACAACGGTGGAGAGCTCCAAAGAGAGAATGCTTAGGGGCAGATATTTAAGGAATGGCTTTGAATTTCCAGAAATGTTAGCACATGTATTCGTTTCTATTTAAAGACAGGAAAAATGTTTCATGTAACATTTTGTGCCTCATTTGCTTTGTAGAGGAAGAACTACCTTCATAGATTTGGTTGTTGAGTAATAAACTGATATTTAGGAGTCCCTCCTGAAGAAGGAAAAGTATTTTCTTTACATGCCAAATTTTACCTCTGTTGGGTAGACTCTGGTGAGTAAAAAGCATTCCCATCTTCCAAACAAAGACCAAGGGCAATTTAAAATACTTTATGTAAGTCAAACAAGCAAGGAAGCTAGGACCCTAACCCTCACTGTCTCATTCCAAATCCTGTCCCTGATCAATTAAGACAGTGCTCACTGGTGAGAAATAAAATAACACATCTACTCAATTAAAGTTTGAGACAGGATTTGATTCTGCTGAAGGACATGTAACCTACCAGGTATTATTAGTAGGGTAAGAAAAGCCCATGACCTGCAACCTCTTGAACATGTGAAATGACCTGGCATCCTGGGTGTTTGGCTGACCTGGTTTGTAGAAGAAACCCAACCATGTATGTGACTTTTCACTCAATTGAACTTCAGGCTCTCCATGCTCTCTGGCTCTGTATCATATTGGCTCGTTCCAAGAGGATTAGCTCAACTCCACCCCTCTGGGAAGAGATTCATTTTCCTGTTTAGGAAATGTGATGTCAGGCTGAAAGAGGCTGATGAGCAAACAGTGGGGCCACATGGAGGTCCAGGTGAAATGCATGACATGGGTGTCTTAGAATGAAGTTTGGTACAAAGTGGTCAAGGACAGGGTGTGCCAGTGTGGGCTGGGAGCCGTTGGGGCTTCAGCTGTTTGTCCAGCATTTAATATGTTTATCTTTCTGCTAAACACATTGTTTTTGAGTCATCTCTATTAAACAACCCTGTGTGAGGCTTAGCTCTGTAAATCCAACATACAAAGGCAGGACTTCTATCCTCAATGGAATTCCATTCTACAAAGTCAAAACAATGCTTTCTCTTACTTCTCACTTCAGTAAGCAAGGTGCCCAGGTTCTGAAAGAGGTGAATCATGTGTTCTTTTATCCGGCCAGGAACCCTGAAGCAATAAAAGTCAAGGAAGAATGTAAGGTGGTCACTCTTTTTTTAATATCATTTCATATTGTTGCTGCAAACTGAAAATGGAAAGTCAATTTACCCAAAAGTACCATCCACCTCCAAATCATCAATATTTTATGTTAGACTATTATGTTATCACACACACACACAATTGCACTCGTCTCACACGCTAGTAAAGTAATGCTCAAAATTCTCCGAGCCAGGCTTCAGCCATACATGAACCGAGAACTTCCAGATGTTCAAGCTGGTTTTAGAACAGGCAGAGGAACCAGAGATCAAATTGCCAATATCCACTGGATCATCAAAAAAGCAAGAGAGTTCCAGAAAAACATCTATTTCTGCTTTATTGACTATGCCAAAGCCTTCGACTGTGTGGATCACAATACACTGTGGAAAATTCTGAAAGAGATGGGAATACCAGACCACCTGACCTGCCTCTTGAGAAACCTGTATGCAGGTCAGGAAGCAACAATTAGAACTGGACATGGAACAACAGATTGGTTCCAAATAGGAAAAGGAGTACGTCAAGGCTGTATATTGTCACCCTGCTTACTTAACTTATATGCAGAGTACATCATGAGAAATGCTGGGCAGGAAGAAGCACAAGCTGGAATCAAGATTGCCAGGAGAAATATCAATAACCTCAGATATGCAGATGACACCACCCTTATGGCAGAGAGTGAAGAGGAACTGAAAAGCCTCTTGATGAAAGTGAAAGAGGAGAGTGAAAAAGTTGGCTTAAAGCTTAACATTCAGAAAACTAAGATCATGGCATCTGGTCCCATCACCTCATGGGAAATAGATGGGGAGACAGTAGAAACAGTGTCAAACTTTATTTTGGGGGGCTCCAAAATAACTGCAGATGGTGACTGCAGCCATGAAATTAAAAGACACTTACTCCTTGGAAGGAAAATTATGACCAACCTAGATAGCATATTAAAAGGCAGAGACATTACTTTGCCAACAAAGGTCCATCTGGTCAAGGCTATGGTTTTTTCATTGGTCATGTATGGATGTGAGAGTTGGACTGTGAAGAAAGCTGAGCACCGAAAAATTAATGCTTTTGAACTGTAGTGTTGGAGAAGACTCTTGAGAGTCCCTTTGACCACAAGGTGATCCAACTAGTCCATCCTAAAGGAGATCAGTCCTGGGTGTTCATTGGAAGGACTGATGTTGAAGCTGAAACTCCAATACTTTGGCCACCTCATGCAAAGAGTTGACTCATTGGAAAAGACCCTGATGCTGGGAGGGATTGTGGGCAGGAGGAGAAGGGGACAACAGAGGATAAGATGGCTGGATGGCATCACCGACTTGATGGGCATGAATTTGAGTAAACTCTGGGAGGTGGTGATGGACAGAGAGGCCTGGCGTGCTGCGATTCATGGGGGCGCAAAGAGTCGGACACGACTGAGCGACTGAACTGATCTGAACTGAACTGATTATCTTATCACCAGTGTCAAAGTAATTATACTAATCCAACAAATAATTGCATTATACATCTAAGTTTGGGGCAGGAAAAGAAAAAAAAAGACTATATAACTTTGAAAAATATGTGTAAGGTTATTTCTTTGGCTTTCCGCAGAAATTGTTCGCGCCATGACACATGTGATAGACCAAGGAATGGCCATGTACTGGGGAACTTCTCGCTGGAGTGCCATGGAGATCATGGTAATTCCATTTCCATTTTTAAATGCCCATTGAGTACCTATTTTTATTTGTCAGATATCATGTATAAGTTGTGAGACCTTTTGCAAACTTTCTCCACAATCACAATGGCACCAGAATTCTATGATCAATTTCATCATTGTAGAGATGGATATGGGGGCGGGGAGTGGATCTTATCAGCTCAGAAAACAACATGGGGCGTGTAGGTCTCTAACGGGAATCGTGTTTTAGCATGTTCTTTGGTAGTAAGAGAGTAAATTACTCAGCTAATGAGACATATGACAGAATATTCCAGGGTTTTTTTTTCTGATGTATTAAATAATGGTACTATTCATAACATGTTAATTACAGATCATTTTAATATTATAGATTAGTTAAGTTTTATTTCTTTAGGAACCTATAAATAGTAAACTATGTTTTCTGTGTAATAGTTCATAATTCACACTTTGACTAATCTCCCCTGGACTTTACTCATTCCAAAACCTCCCAAAAGATAATGGATTTCCTGAATTGGTATTTCTTAGTGAAATTGATGGTCATAATTTTGCTTATTATTTGACAATCTAGATTTTTCTTGGTTTGTATTGATTTCACTAGAAGAATTTTTTTCATGCATACAGACTTGTTTCTCATCAAAAGTAAATTCAGTTGCAATTTTATTTCACCCTTAGGAAGCCTACTCAGTAGCAAGACAATTCAACATGATCCCACCAGTCTGTGAACAAGCTGAATACCATCTTTTCCAGAGAGAGAAAGTAGAGGTTCAGCTGCCAGAGCTCTATCATAAAATAGGTAATCTTCACAATCAAATTGACTCATTATCTTTAATAAGAGGATCAGGGATTCAGGGGGAAAAAAAAAGGTGCGACTGAAATGCTTTCCTAAACGTTCTTAATTAACGTAGGGATTGTCAGCACTATGCATTCCAGAAACTAGAAGAAATCAAAAGGACCTGTATGCAATCTCTGGAGTATCCACTCATGAAAGCCAAGCAGAGCTGGCAGACAAGCTGTTCTCAGTAGGTGTTCCAAAAAATGCATGTAGCATGAAAGGAAGAAATAATGAATAAACCTGTTTTTCATAGGGTAGTTGCTCTAGACAAGAATGCATCTCTGAGTGGGTTTCCCCAAAATTACAGACTTATATATCTGTATCTCCTACTCTGCCTGGAACTGAGTCAGAGGCGGGAATTCAAGAACGGCAGACAAGCCAGGAACACATGTTTGTGTAGGGTACATGTGATGCCAAAGGGAGGGGGAAAAAATATATATACAACATGTACACAAGAATTTTGGATATCAGAAAAACTTCAGCCACATTTTCAGGCCTATTTATCAAAACAGGTTCCAGAGGTAACTTCTTCATAAGAAATGGGGGTTTACGTGAGTGGGGAAAATGCTGGGTAAGAAAAAAAGGATAAGAAAAGTTTGACAGCAGTAACAGTGGTTGTTATGGCTACCACTGTGTGTTCATTGTGTGTTCTCTGAGGCACTGCGAGAACAAGCGAAGCACTGAATTTCTGTGCAAGCAAAAGTGCTTATCTCTGAGTGTGAAAAGAAATGTAAATTTGGGGCATCAGAAAACTATGGAGAAGCCACCTTTTCAGGCTTGATTATATGCCCTGCTCCCCATCACCAACAGTGCACAGCTGATGGGTCTATATTAATAAAAATGAAGCACACAGTTTGTAAATGCCTAAACTTTAATGGAAAGATTTATGCTGATATTAACTCATATATCTGGCCAGCTTTTCCCCATAACTAACCAGGTCCTTTCTGAATACCCACTCACTTTTGATCCCAGTTTGCAGAAGTAACTTTTTAAGGTTTTTTTTTCTTCTATAGGAGTTGGAGCAATGACATGGTCTCCACTGGCTTGTGGCATCATCTCAGGAAAATATGGAAGCGGGGTGCCTGAGAGCTCTAGGGCTTCGCTGAAGGTATTTTCCTCCACCTCTAGGAAAGGGTCTGGGCATGGGGACGAGGGAGAAAAGGAAACGGAACAGGAGAACCCAGCAGCAGCCTGCGGCTCCCTGGCTCAGGCCGTGTGGCCTCAGCCCGGCAGGCGTCCCCTGGCATTGCCCCAGCCCTCTAGAGGTCCCTGCTTCAGGTCAGGCATCAGTGCAGAAAGCTTCCCTCCTCTGTGGACCAGGAGAGACGCCCGGTGACCTGGTTGGATTCGTAGGACTCAATTTCCTACACTTATTTATTCTTGTATTAAAGAAGGCATTTCATTCCTCCTTTGACACAGAGGGAAATGTAAAATCCATCTTCTATATAAGAGGATCTAATTTTACTTTTCTTAACAAAATTTAAGCCATAGAGGTTTAATCCATATGGGGCACACCGGTTGTACTTGAGTAGGTTTGAGGTCGGTTGACACTTCTTAATATGTGAAGGTGGGGGTTAAGGAGGGAAGGTTTGGGGCAGATACAGAGCCAGACATTCGTCGCTGAGGCTCAGGGCTGGCGTTCGCAGAAATCAACTCCAGCTGCTGAGTCTTGCCGCTTAAATTCTTCTCTGAAGAGTAAAGATATTCAAGATCACTGACATAAAATTAACCTCCATTCAGAACATCTTGATGATTAATTTATTGGAGAGTACTCCAAACATCTCTCCTTGTTAATAACAACATGTCTGTTTTTAAAAACTTGAGAGAATGTGTAATAACATTAGAATCACAAATTACTCTGTAATGTCAAGGGAGAAAGAATATTGGCATTTTTAAAATTCACACTTGCCAAACGCCCCCAAAAGGAAGCAGAAGTCTGACACAGCCTCTTGCTTCCATCAGCACAAAGTCAGCACAAGGACAACTCAACTTAAGCCTGAACCAACAACCCTTTAATCAGTGTGGCTGGAACCACTGTATGCTTCCCCAATCAGGACCTTCTCCAGGCTCTAGGTCTATCTATCACTTTTCTTTCTGCTCTAACAGTTGACCTATTAGTGTGTTTCTTCTCTAAGATAATATATATATTTCCTAAAACATGGTGACATGGTCCTGCTTCTAGTTTTGTATTATTACACTAATTATCCTCGAATATTAAATATGGTCTTGTGTCTGAAAAAGTCAAAGGTTTTGAATAAGTTAGCAAAGAAAAACTAAAAGCATTTTAGGAAAGAAAGGATAAAAGGAGGATGGCAAGAAAATCATTGAAAATTGTGATTTTAGCTGAGCACCTACTGCGTGCCAAGCACTAGGATAAGTGTCTCTTTGTTTTTATCTCCTTTTATCTTCACAAAGATAAATGGATACAGATGGCTTTTAGTCAGTTGTAGCTAGGGATGTAAGTCTCTTACATTCTTTCAGAGACTTTCTGAAAAACTCAAAGTGCTTCCATATACATGGGGGTGTTTGTTCTTAGACTATCCTTATAAGAGGGTAAACCTTTTCCAGATGCAGAAACTGAGAACAAAGATATTAGATAACAATCCAAGGGCATAAACTCACAATAAAGTTAGTAGTAGAACCCAAGTCTCCTGGCTGTCAGTTCCTCTCCCTAAAGGCATTTTTGTTTCCCTTCAAATTAATGTTTTTAAATGAGGAAGAAGGAGCAGCACTGTATTTGGAGTTTATGATTGACTGATCTCCATCACTGTTTGAGAAAAGCTTACAAATAGCTGAAAAACTGCTTAAAATGCACTAACTAAAGGGGAGGGAAGGAGATGCAGAATATTTGAAGGTAGCTAAGCCCAAAAGCAACTCAAAAAATTTGTTGAAGCATCCTTAAAAATAAGCATTAAAGAGTCTCCAAAGGTAAAAGGAAGCCTGTCACAGAGCACACTTCTTAATTCATCAGCCTAAGTGCTTTCTTGACTAATATCTGTGCATTTAGAAAAGCCACTTGAGTAACTAAAGCAAAAATTAATGCCACTTATAATAATGCTTTATATATATGTGTGTGTGTATATATATATATGTATCTCAACCTTAAGAGTGAGCGAGAATTCTAATAGTAAAAACATTTAAAAAAAAAATGAAGAGCTAGGCAAATAGATAAATAAGATGGCAACTTTCACCTCCCCCAAAATAGAATGGTTGGTATTTCACACTGGCTATTTTAAGTTACACCAATAAAATAAAGACGCTAATATTTTATTTCTGTTGTAAACACTGAACTGTTAGGATAAATTAACTGAGTATTAAAAAAATACCTATCTTTTAGAAAGTAATACTACCCATGTGGCTTTCTGGGAGGCTGCATGTGGCCCACCCCTGTGACAAAGACTTCTGAATCCGTGTCATCGGCACTGACTTCACTGCTGAGCTAAACACCACTACTTCTTCGTGACTATTAGACACCACCACATGGATATCCTGCGGGCATCTGACATGCCTGATGGAATCTATCCACACTCCCCAAACCTACCCAGAATCCTCAGTTAACAGTGCCTCCACCCGCGCCTTGGTCATCGCAGTCTGAAGCCAACGCATCATCTCAGTCTGCCTCTCCTCCTCCCTCCGTCTTATCCAGCAGGACACCAACTTCTCCAGTCACATCCTGACCCTCAGTGGTCCTTCCCTTCCACCGCCCTTGTTTAGATCGCCATCATTTCTTTCCTGGTTTGCCACAGTAACCTCCCGTCCAGACTCTCTGATTCACCCCTCTTTTTCAACTACCCACCCCATTACCTACTATCCATATTAATTATGTGACCAAATGCCTTTAAAAGATTAATCTGACTATGTCATAACCCTGCCCTATATCCTTGATGACTTCCCAATATTGATTATATGACAAAACCTAAAAACCCACAGAAAAGTGTTCAAGGAAATACTCTTGGGGTCTTAACTGAGCCCAATTTCCCATTCTTGTCTCTCCCCAAATCATATTAGTTCATTTTTTCACCCAAATGCACTACACTTGTTTTTGCCTCCCAGAAATGCCCTTCTTTTTATCTGGCTGTGGAAAGCCATCTCTAAAGACAAAGCTTGGTTGTCTTCACTCTGTGAAGCCTGTCCTTACTTTGCAAAACTTCAGTTATTGGTAACTTCCTCTAACATTCCACAAGCACTTCTTACAGAGTCTTAGAATCCTCTGACAAAATGCAGTTCAACTTAATCAAAGAAGGGAGCACATAGACAGACACTCCCTGGGAAAGATGGAGTGGGATGGCCTCGGGGTGACTCTATCCACAGATTTGCCCATTGTCAGGACTCTCCATCTCCTCTGTTTCTCTCCACACGTGTCATTTTCTGCTACTACACATGGGTCTTCTTCATGAGCCCAGGAAGAAGAACGCTAGTGACTGCCAGGCTTACATCCTTAAAGGCATATAACCTGAGAGAAAAGAGAATTTTCTTTAACAGCTTCGGTACAGAGAAGACTGGCCAAGCTTGGGTCATGTGCCAACGTAGCAGACCAATGACGGGGGCCCAGAGGACAAGATGATGGGCCTCGTTCATGTCTGGCACCGATGGTGGGCTATTTCCCACCATAAAGAGGCAGTGCAAACAGAGCTCCTGAGGAAATCCTCAGGCGGCACCCCAACTACAAAACACCTCTCAAGTTACCAGACAATGACTCATGAAAACCTTTAGGATAGAAACTGAAACTTACACAACTCACCACAGAGTCGGGCACATGATAAGTACTCAACAATTGTTTCTTGAATGAATACAATAAGCCACAACCAAGGATCAGCAATGTCTGATCAATAGACCAGGTGAAGAGAAGTGAAAGTCGCTCAGTCATGTCCGACTCTGCAACCCCATGGACTGTATAGTCCATGGAATTCTCCAGGCCAAAATACTGGAGTGGGTAGCCTGTCCCTTCTCCAGGGGATCTTCCCGACCCAGGAATGGAACCGGGGTCTCCTGCATTGCAGGCAGATTTCTTTACCAACTGAACTATCAGAGACCAGGTGAGCAGCTTTTAAATAAAAAGTTTAAATATAAATGAAAAGTGCAATAAGATTTATGAACAGATCTTCCCTATCATTAGGAAAACACATTATAGAGAAAAACAGAAAAATATATACCTTTTTGTCAAAGGGAAAGAGGAAGCATGCAAACATAGGTGGAGCAAGGGAATGGGGAGAAGGACGGTCCAAGAACTCCAGGTGTTCACATTAAGAAACTAAGGACATTTTCACATTATGGTACAATTTCAGAAGGAAAAACTTTAGCACCAGCATTTTGCCTAGAGATTTGCACCTCAATAATGAAGACTTTGCTGCTCTTTTGAGCCAAAGACTTCAATTGTTTAGCTAGAAATAGTCAGTGATCTTGAATGCTAAATTAGGCCCAGTAATGAAATGTGACTGATTCTGTCCATGGCTATACAGTTTCTGCCCAAGTTCCAGGCTGGGAACAGACAGCCAATCAGGGTGTCTGGGGCATATCGCACAGACTATTCACATCCTGTTACGGTTACCTATAAACTGGCAGTCACAGAGATAATGGCCACAGCATTAGAAGATGGAAAAGAAACAGGCTTTAGGAAATTTTAAAGAATTTTGTGACTTATGTATAAAAGTAATAGCTCACTAATCTATTGAGAAGAAAGCTCATTCAGTTGTTCCCTTGGCAAATATTTACTGAGTGTCTAGTCAGGGCTGAGCCCTGTGCTGAGGACTGAGGAGACAGTGATGAATGGGACAGTCTCAACCCTAAGGAATAACTCAGGGACTTGGAGACAGACACGAGAAGGGGTGAATTATGAAACTATGTGGAATCCACAGGCACTGTGGATACACATAGGGCTGCCAGTCGAAGGAGGAAGTGTGTTCAATCTGCAAAATTGAAGACAGCTCTCTTTACTGTGTGGAATCCTGGTTTCTCAGATCCCTTCCTCATCACCATGTTGGCTGAGCCCCTCCTCTCTGTCAACCACTGGGTCAAGACTGGAGATGCTGACACGAACAAGAAGCCATCCCTGCCTTCCACTTAGTTACAAAGAACAATCTGCGTGTAATCAAATCACTGCAGGAATAGCATTAAGCAATATAATAGGAGTGGAAGACAAAATTTCACCTTTTGATTCACGGACTACTGCCTGCAGGCCACAAGTTGGGATTATTATTGCGTACAACCACACCTACGGTCAATCTTCTTACCAAAACCCCTGGTTCACTCCCATACTTAATTTAAATTTTAGTTAAGCCTCATCTCCTCCCTATGCAAACATTTTCCCACTTGTAAAACTGTTAAAGCTATTTATTTCCAAAACACATTTGTTTCCTTTGGTATGAGGAAAGCAGTATGAATAATATGCATTTACTTTTATAAAACCCTAACCTGCTTATGTTTCCCAGTGATTAGAGTGAGATTTATGTTGAGGGTAGAGAGAAAAATACTCAATAAATGAATGTTTGGTATTTGTTAGTTTCAGAAATCTTCCTCTCAGAGCTTCCATGGTGGCTCAGTGGTAAAGAATCTGCCCGCCACTGCAAGAGACACAGGTTCAATCCCTGGTCCAGGAAGATCCCACATGCTGCATGGCAACTAAGCCCATGTGCCGCAGCTACTTGAACCTGTGCCCTAGAGCCCAGGAGCTGAAATTACTGAGTCCACATGCCACAACTACTGAAGTCCCAGATCCTAGAGCCCGTGCTCCACGATAAAAGAAGGCACCACAGTGAGAAGCCTGCACACAGCAACAAAAATCCAGCACAGCCAAAAGTTTAAAAAATAATTAAATTAAAGAAATCTTCCTCTCAGTATGGTATGCGTGTGTAATGCAAACATTACATGCACTCATGCACACACGCTCAACACACATATCTAACTTGTAACTCACTCCTAAGAATAAAAATGTGTTGCAGATAATAAGATTTCAAAAACTAGAATTTCATAATATTGATAAGTCAGTCAATTATTCTTTATGTGTGTGGTATATACTGAAACCTGAGGAACTCTCCTAGTAGTAAAAAGCAATAGCTCAAGAGGCTTTTGGCTATTGGTTTTCAAACTTTTTTTTTTTCATTTGAATAAGAGATACTGGTCCCTTGAAAGATGTTATGAGACTGAAATGAGGGTGGGTGATATTTTTCCCCTTGAGGACAGTAGAAGTAAGTTCAGGGGCTTTCTGATGTACCCAGCAAGCTGCTGGGGAAGCGTTGCTTGCTCTTAACTGTCCACCTCATCACTGCTGGCACCAGCCATCATCTCCAGAGAGATGCCCAGGCTGTGCTTCCTCCTGGAAGAAGCTGAGGTCTCTGGAGCTGAGGCTGGGAAAACTCTTGACCATTTTGCTAAGTAAACTTCATGTAAGGAGCCAGACCATAAGCCCCTGAGATCTAGGAGGAGAACAAAACTGGGTCTGCTTATTCTTTCTTCTTTTCATATCTGCAAAATCATTCCAGAAATCATAACAAAACAGTGCAGTTGCCTTTTTCTTTGGAAATAAGTGTCTTGCAATGATGAAAAAAATACTTGAAAGCCAGCAGCTTACTGAAATCACGTGGGTGGAGATTTGGTGATGACTGCCCAGCTTTCTGCTGCCTTTGAGACAGAAAGGGTCTGTGATGGCAACTATGTCACAACACACACAATGAAGGAAGTCCACTTGGCCACACAGGGGATGGTTCTTATTATTGTCACTGAAACAGACCAACATTCTTACAGATATTCTTTTCCTTTGGGTGCTGCTATCCAGGGCTAGTTTTGTACGTAAGAGTCTGTTGCTCCTTGTTTCATAGTAAGAGCAGAACCTTCTGGAAAATAGGGCATTGAGAAGTTCTAAAAGATTTCTTTCCTTACATTTAGGAAATTAGGCACACTTTATAGGCTACATCAGAGTCAGCCTTGTCTTATAGGTTTTAAAGATTAGTTTCCCATTTACCTTTATAAGGATCCTTGCTTTTTTAAGTTTCAAACATTATACAAAAATGTAACACACATTTGGAAAAAAAAAATGTAATACACATTTGGGAAAGTCTTTACCCACTTTATCCACTTTAAAAATGTACTGGTACCTATGTGTTATACCATTCACATCTGCTTCTAGAAAGGAGTGGAGAAAGCTAACGATAAAATCACATTAAGAGAATTCAGGAGAGACTAGGAGTAAATTGAAGGCAAGAGGGAGAAGGACAGCTACAGCAAGAATGTAACATAATGACTTCCTTTGAGCAGAAAGCTTGGCACCCAATTTTCTGCACAAAAAAAGAAACTTAATAGATCTTGGTGAAATGTAAATACCTTCCTCCCCCCACCTACATTCTAAGGGCTATCACAATAAGAACCATCTTTTCCAGATGGGATATAATTGATTATATGTCAGGATTTTAACAACTTTTGTACATGTCGATGGATTTGAACGGTGAGCTTTAGACAAAATCAATCTGTCTTGAACCAATAAATAAGGAGTGAGACCACGGGGAACATTTCTTTGCATGAAGACATAGGCGTCCTTGTTTCCATCAAACAGAAAGGTCAGAGCCAAGAAGACTCAGGAATTCACCACAAGGCTCTTACATTTAATAGAGTTAACAGTCTGTGCATCAAACCGTTCCCAGACATTAACATTGAAATGTTCTTCTTACCTCTAGTGCTACCAGTGGTTGAAGGAAAGAATTGTGAGTGAAGAAGGGAGAAAACAGCAAAACAAGCTGAAAGATCTCTCCCCGATCGCAGAGCGTCTGGGATGCACGCTACCTCAGCTAGCCGTGGGTGAGTCGCTGCGGAGGGAGGCCCTGCTGGGTCACAGAGAATGAGAGCATTCTCTATTATTGAGTCACATCTCTCACATGATAAAATACCTAGTGTAGGGGCAGACGCTCTGAATCAGACACTCCCGGTTAACTCTATTGAAAATGAGGTTTTGTAGAGTTCCTCAGAGTGTTCCACCCGCTGAGACACTTTGCTCACTTCCTCTCCTTTCCCTTACAAGACAGTTTAAACAAGAACATGTCGGTGAAAACGCACACATCCTCACAGTGTCAAGGGTGAGCGTCCCTGAACTGTGTGGTGACATCCACTGCTTCTGGCTCAGTTTTCCTTCCCTGTTGAAGCTGAGGCCGGGTTGGTGAGAGGCTGAGGCGCAGGGCTGTGACTGAGGCCAAGCCACTCCCACTCGGAAAGCATGTCTTAGGGGAGCAGCGTCTCAAAACTTCTGGGGGCCATGAAAATGATCGGAGTCAACGAAAGCTCACGGTTACTGGTGACAACTGAAAACCACATTGCATCAGAACAGTCCCAGTGAAATACAATGTGTCTCATTTGTTTAACTTTTAAATTTCCAGGAGCCATGTTAAAAAAGTAAAAGAGAAATAGATGAAATTAATTTTTAAATGGACCACATTCAATCTATATGGCCAAAATATTGTCATTTTAACATGTAATAAATATAAAAAGCTTATCATATTTTTATATAATGCTTATTATATTTTTATATAATAATATTTCACACACTTTCCTACAAAATCCAGAGTGCATTTTGCACCTATAGCACATGTCAATTCAGGCTAAACACATATCCGGTGTTCAATAGCCACGAGTGGTGAGAGACTGGGGATTAAACAGAAAAGTTAGATTTTCAGGTCCCTTGCTGAGGACTATCTGCCAGGCTCTGTGATAAGCTCTTTATGCTCATCATCTTGTCTCTGTAATTATCAGAACAATCCCACAAAGTATATACTGGTCCTAGACCTAGTCCTCCATCACAGACGTTAATGGTTTCCCTACTGTCATCGCCACTTTACAAATGAAGAAGAGGCTGAAAAGAATTCATGTGGTAGCTGTGAGAAGAGAATAAAATGGGTATAGATTCTAGAAAAAATTCCCAAGGAGTAAGAAATAGCAGGAATTGGGATAAATCAGATACAGTGAACCAGTGAGATAAAAAGCTCAAGATAAGTTTTGTGCAAGTAAAATAACAGAATATTTGTTAAATGCTTGACCCTTCTGGGAGAAGGAAATGGCAACCCACTCCAGTACTCTTGCCTAGAAAATCCCATGGACGGTGGAGCCCGGTGCAGGCTACTGTCCATGGGGTCGCAAAGAGTTGGACACGACTGAACGACTTCACTAACTAATACCACTCCTGGAACATGAGATGATTTTAAGTGGTACAGGTGAACATTTTAAGAATAATTATATATTTTTAATGTGTATCAGAAGAAAAATGTAACTAAGTAACAAGTAGAAAATAAATTGATATGGGTTAAGAAAGTTGATTGAAAACTGACAAACAAGGTTACATACAACAAAAATTGTAAAAGTAGATGTGAGTGGCAGTAATTTAGGAAAAAAGGTATGATGTTTTCACTTTTCTTTGAAAATTATGTTAAACTTTCAAAGCGATGAAAGTAAATTACATATTTTTAGGAAAACTATAAAAGGATGAAAAATGAAAAAAAAAATGCTTGACCCTTCTGATGTTAGAAGGCAGGAAGATCGTAGTTGGCAGTAAAGAGTCACAGAAAGATGGAAATGGAAGGAGGTTTTGGGGGGGGAATACCATTTACCTAAGTATATGTATGACTATTGCTTTAACCCTCTCTTCTAAAAAGCAAAGATTATATTTAATGTGATTAGTTAGCATCCCTAGAGCTTTAGTGACTGCAGTAAAAGGTATTAGCTGTTGACCATCAGCAAGTTATTTAACTTGCTATCACTTTTATCATCTGCAAAATGGGTATAATAGTATGTATCTTGCAAATGTGTTGAGTAAAAGGAAATTATGTATGTAAAGCAGAGTAGGCTCAGTAGGTAACTAGTGAAGAATGAAGATGATGATGGTTTTGCAAAGAATCAGACACCCTGTGCTGAAACTCCGTCCACTCTTGGCCATCACATATGGTCAGAGGTATCAGTTCAGTTCAGTTCAGTTCTGTCGCTCAGTCGTGTCCGACTCTTTGCAACCCCATGAATTGCAGCACGCCAGGCCTCCCTGTCAATCACCAGCTCCCGAAATTTCTCAAACTCATGCCCATCGAGTCGGTGATGCCATCCAGCCATCTCATCCTCTGTCGTCCCCTTCTACTCCTGCCCCCAATCCCTCCCAGCATCAGGGTCTTTTCCAATGGCCAGAGGTATAGGCACAGAGAAAAACACCTGTTCTTAAACCATAGCCATAAATATGGTTGTTAAGTGGTAACATGAAAGTGAGTATTGAATATCGCTCCGAAAGAGACAGAAGAATACTGTCTTTCTAAAGAGAAAATCTTTACAACATTTAGACTTTCACTAAATGTCACATGTACATGACTCTTTACAGAGTCCAAGTTTAAGTTAAAACATACTTTTTTTCCCTTTTCCTCCCTCTGTGTCCCCAGGTGTCTTTCTTGCCTGTCATTTTTTTTTTCTTTTCTTTGTAAACAAGTAGTTTTGTTTTTAACCACAGAACTCTCAAGAAGGAAATTATTTCCAGGCATATTACTTTTGATCTAGAAGAAATGTGGGGGAGGGGAGATCCTCTGGCAGAAAACAAGCTACTTGAGCCCAACTGTGGGCTGGTTCCCACGTCTCACATCTGCATGGGAGCACGCATGCACACCTTGTTCATAGAGAGGCACTCTGGATGCGCCTGTGGGTGACACCTGATTAGATGCTGATTATCTGGTGCTGGCCAACTCTGCCCAGTGAGTTCTATGCCCGGCCGCCCACGGGGGAATCAGCTGCTGCTGACAGCAAGTAGTTTATGGGCAATAATTTTCCCAGTGCTCTGCTTTGCCCTCAGAACTTCCACAAGTTCCAAAAAAGAGTTCTAAGTGCAAAGCAGGAAATAAAGCGGCCAAAAAAAAGAAAAAAAAAGCTTGGGATCACTTGGCTTGTTGCCTTCATCGGGCATTATTTTGCCCCTGTGGAAGGATTTAGTGATTGCCTTAAAAGGTCTGAGCATGGTAACAGCTTAACAGCATCAGTTGGTAGTATAGCCTGAGCAAATGTGGGGAGGAGAGGTCTTACGGGATGCCCATCAATTATTCACTATCAGTGATTCATGCCTCCCTTTACTCAACCAACATCTAATAAGCACCTACTGTGTGCAGGTGCTGGGATGGGTGCTGAGCATCCAACTGCAAATAACACACATCTCACACTCTGGTAGACAAGTCAAGAAGTTAATGGATAATTTTAATACAGTGTGATGATAAAATGTGTTAGTTAGTCACTCAGTCGTGTCTGACTCTCTGTGACCTCATGGACTGTGTAGCCTGCCAGTCTCCTCTGTCCATGGCATTCTCCAAGCAAGAATACTGGAGTGGGTTGCTATTCTCTTCTCCAGGGGATCTTCCCAACCCAGGGATCGAACCTGTGTCTCTTGCATTGCAGGCGTATTCTTTACCATTTGAGCTACCTGGGAAGCCCAATTGAGAAGGGCATGGTGGAGGTGGGAGGAGGGAAGTAGCGTGTAGGAGTGCCAAACCCAGCCTGGGACTCAGGGAAGGCCTTGGGAGAAGGCTGTGCCCATGAGGAATTCCACATGATGAGTAGATGTTAATAAGGCAAAGGCACATTCCAGACCAAGGGGACCGCTTGAGCCAAGGGCTGGAGGAGGAGAAACAGAGCATGATATTTGGGGATGGAGAGGATTCACGAACAGTGCTGCTGACACAGAAATGTCAAGATAGGGAGTGAGGAGACAGGAAGCTAGACCGGGGACCGAACCCACGTCCGCTGTGTTGGCAGGCGGATTCTTAACCACTGGGCCACCAGGCGAGTCCAGAGGCTTATTGTAGAATGAGAGAGATTTGCTTGTGTTTTCTTGAAAAAGAGGAGGAGAACAGTAAGAAATCAAAAATCTAGGAGAACAAGAGAGGAAGAGAATAACGAATCTAATCAAGTCCAAGAAAAGGCAAAAGGAGTGGGATCAGCACAGAGTTTGGCTTTGAACAGACATGACCCCACAGCCTCTGAAACTGGAGGGTGTGTGTGTGTGTGTGTGTGTGTGTGTGTGTGTGTGTGGACTTGGGTCGGTAGGCGAGTGGGGAATTAAAGGATATCCTACCGGAGGCATTCAAGTTTCTGCACTTAAGGAGAAGGCCAGGTCATCTGCTGAAGGCGACAGGGCCAAGATCAAATAGGGGTTTAAGGGCAGAGGCTGCTACAGGTAAAGGCGGAGTGAGGAGTTAGAGGGTGAGCAAGAGAGATGATCTCCATGAATCTCATGTCAGGAAGACAGGGAGTCCGGACAGGGCTGACAGGTCAGTGGAAAGAAAGGATCCAGATCAGATACCCAGAGTCTACAAGGACCCCACTTAACAGATGAGGGGAAAGTGACAGCGTGAATGGGGTGGAAAGACAGATGGAAACAGGAATCCGGACGACCATCCATCAGCTGTGTCCGGTGTCTTCAGGAACAAGGCTGTGTTTCTGGACTGGATGCCCCACTTGTGGGGCAGAGGCGGCCTGAGGCCACAGGTCACATGCACGGATTCTCCCAAGTCCTCCACACGACAGGGGGCGCTGCTGAGGCCCTAAATGCCGGAGCGCACCTCCATCCTCCCACAAAGTTACCACGTTTTGGTTGAGACAGAGGAACCTGCAGATAGCGTTTGCAAACTCATCAACAGTCAGAAGTGTTTGGCCTTGCTGACCCGGTGCTCTCTCTTCCCAGCCTGGTGCCTGAGAAACGAGGGTGTGAGTTCCGTTCTCCTGGGATCATCCACTCCTGAGCAGCTCATTGAAAACCTCGGTGCCATTCAGGCAAGTATTGCAGCCCCCACCACCCAACTCCAGGGAGTCTCCTGGTGCCTTTGAGGATGCCCCAGGCAGTGTCCTGGCCCTGCCCGACCTTCATCGTCTCACAGCTGAGTGGCATGACAGCTCCTGATACAGGGAAGTGGCGAGAGGAGAAATGGGGACAAAGGCAAAAGAAGCCACAGAACTCTCACAGAATGTGAATCCCGGGATGTCCTCTTCTTGTAACAGTCAGTCTCCTCCAGGCTTATTTCTTGGGACAGTTTGTGTCTGTGGACAGTGTGTTCTAAGACCCAAGCACTGTTACACTTGGCAACTGGGTTCCCAGGTCTAAGCATGAAAGCCTTCCCTATAACTGGCTTGAAATGGAGCTTCCATAGGACAATATGCATAATCATGTATTCAGTTTTTTCCCCTACAAATTTTTATTGTCTGTCTGCAGTATGCCAAGCCCCTCCTTTCTGCTCTCCTAGTATCCTATATTCCTCTCTCCATCTCGGCACTTCTGTAGTATAATTGCCTGTCTCCCCTGAGGTCAGAGACCTGTGTCTTTCTTGCTTCTCCATTGATTTTCCAGTTCCTAGGACTCCGTGGCTCCTAGTCAACTCAACTCAAGAAATGCCTATCAAATGAATGAATATTTGCCACATCGAAGACAAATCGGCTCAGAATTCCAGATCACCTCTCCCTAATAGCAGTTTCAGGAGCATGCACCCCTACTCCCTCCCCTGCAGGGACTGCCAGGCCTGGATGGTGCCTGCAGTACCCAGGAAGCCTGTAAGGGCAGCAGGAGGGGAAGAGAGAGATGTCCTGGGAGTCCTGGACAGGGGTGGTGTTGGTGGCTGTGATGACCATCCTGTCCCTAATGGCCACATTTCAGTCCTGAGCCTGCACCATGCTCCAGGGGCCGCAGGAGTGAGCCCACCCACGACTCTTGCCACAGCTGTCACCTGCCCTAAGAGCGAGAGCAGTGTGTTTTTTTGCTCATTGGGTAACAGAACTAACAGCTTCTCCTCTGTCCACCTTTCCCTGAAACCAGTACTTAGCCCTGCTACCTCTCTCAGAAGGAAGTAGATGGAGATGGGGACAAACTAGATTAAACTTAAAATGTTTTAAAATTCTTTTGAAAAACAGCCCTGAATATGCTGGAGATAAAGGTGCCGACCTCCTACCCACCATCCCCTTTCTTAGGTCTATGCAGCTGGGTAATCACCTTTGCCTCTCTGGTTCTGAGAAGCCCCCAGGCCCACAACTCTTGCTGGATTGTGGGGTTCCCCGTCTCTGCCTGGGGAATGATCCTCTTATGCAAGTCACTCCCATCTTCTCTTTTTGTCACTTATGCTTTGGGAACAGATACAGGCTACACAATGAGGAGGAGGAAACAGAGGAACAGTCTATACACAAAGGAACTGAAATGCAATCCAGTGATTTCAATTCCACTAATATATATTGAGCAAACTCTGAGAGATAGTGAAGGACAGGGAGTTCTGGCATGCTGCAGTTCATGGGGCTGCAGAGTCAGAACGATGGAGCAACTGATCAACAATACATATTGAGTGCTTATTCTGTGTCTGGCACCATGTTAGGCAGAGAGCGTTCTGAGATAAGTACAGGTCACTGCCCTCGAGAGTTCACGGGCTGCCTGAGAAAGAGTGGATTAGGCAAGCTTGCTCTGTAGCCAGCACTGGGTACACCACAGGAAAGCAGACACACATCACCCAGCCTTCAAGGAGCTGACATTCCAGTGTCCTCTCTCCCTTCCTACCCCACCTCTCGTGAGCCCAGCACCAGAGATTCCGCCCTTGGCAAGCTGTGACTGGACCCCTCCGTACAGTGAGAGTAGATTGGATGGCTGGGGGCTCCCAGCAGTGGTAGGAGAAATTGAATAAGAGTGCAGTGTCTGGGGCTATAAGAAAGGAAGTTTGTAATGGGCAAAGGAAGGCAGCTGCTCCAAGGAATGAATGTGCCTAAGGTGAGCATAAACTGGAGGGGCATTTATCAATCAGAGCATCAACACACGAGACTGGAGAGAAGCCCAGCTGCAGGCAGCCCTCCGGCACAGGTCCCCATCCTCCAGCCTTAGAGCCCCTCTTGAGTTCCCCACCACCTACTCAGAGAAGTCCAGGCTTCTCAGCAGTTGGGCCTTCCCATCCAGGGTTCATCTCCCCCGGCCCCCACCCCCTCGCTTTCCTCCCCCAGGATGTCTGAATCCCCAGAATAGTGGTCCTCCACCTACAGTGTCCACCACCCCCGACTACCAAATCCTGCTCCATCCCCCAGGTCCAGCTCGACAGTGACCCAGTTCTGGGAGGACTTCCCTAATACCTGCCAGCCCCGCAGTGCCGCCCAGACCCTTCTTCACCTCCGAATTGCTAGTCACAATAACACTACGCCTGCAAAGCTGCTAGCTCGTGGGATGTTTGTGTGATCTGTAGATGAAAATGTTTTGAAATAGTTGCCAACATTAAAAAATTGGGCAACTTCACATAAAATGCTGAATGTGTGACTTCTCTTGAATATTTAGGTCTTGTGTGTGTGTGTGTATATATATATAACACACACATACACAAATGTGTATATATACACATACATACAAGCGTATATATACACATACATACATATGTATACATATATATATTTCGTGTTTTATTCAAGTACTTTTATGATTTCACTTTTCTAATGTTTAGATCTCTTATTGGTATAATAAATGAAGAATCCTTTTCCTCCCAAGGCTAACCCACTAGATTTTAGACACAAAACTTCTGACAAGTCCAGTTTCTAGATTTGAGTTTCACTGTTGTGTCTCACTCTAAATGGCACAATAGTTTAGATCCTCTGAGGCTCCAGAGCTGGTGGGAAACCAGCCTCTCCTTTAGCTTCAGAGGGGAGAATGTTACAGACCAGTGAGGAAGGAGCTCTGCCATCCAGCCAGGCCCTGCGGGTTCTGAGGCGAGCGCTGAGACAAGGTCACCCTGGCCAATGACTGAAGGGTGAGGCTGAGACGCACAGTCGGTCATTGTGAATGTATTTCACCACGGTCTCCACACAGGGTCAGACTATTCCTGCAAGAAAGTCTGCCTTTGTCTCTTGTCTTGTGGTGTAATGCGTGCCCTTGGCCCACTTCGTGCAATAAACATGAGCTGTCCCTAGATGAGCTCATTCTTTCCCAGGGCTTCAGGGAGCATGACTGTGCAAATAACTTGCAAATTCTCAACTCCAGTCCTGCAAGCCACCTCTCCATGGCGTCCTACAGGCACTTTAACCTCAGCATATCCACCGCCCACCCACCCCAAACTTCTCATGCTCCTAACCTCTCCTCCTGTGGTCTCTCAACAGTTACCTACACCAGTATGTTCCTAGTCACCCAGTCTTGAGATCACCATCAGCCTCCAAAATCTCTCTCCGAGTCACTCTTTTTCTCCTCCCCCACCACTGTCTTGCCAAGTGCTGCCACGGTAAAGAATCTGCCTGCCAGTGCAGGAGACACAAGACACACGGGTTCCATCTCTGGGTTGGGAAAATCCCATTGAGTAGGAAATGGCAACCCACTTGAGTGTTCTCACCTGGGAAGTCCCATGGACAGAGGAGCTTGGTAGGCTACAGTCCATGGGGTCACAGAGTTGAACATGACTTGAGTATGCACACGCTACAGCCTAGTTAAGGCTCTTAGTGTCTGGCTGTGATTGGAGTATTTCTAACATCTGTATCCCCTTTCAATCTCCTTCCAACTCATCCTTCAGAATATGTCCAAGTGTCTGGTGGGGTCATTCCCAGCTGAGAAGTCCTGAGAGGTTCCCCACCACCTACTGCATAAATTCCAACTCCAAAAAACAGCATTCAAGGCTTCACTCTTTACAACTTCCCTATTCCCATCATCTCCACACCTCCCATACTCACACTCCACTTGTATCACACCATTCAGACTTCACTTCATGCTCTTCCATCAGCCTGGGATGCCGGTTAACCTGTGGCTCTCCTATACCAGGGTTCTGCCCACCAGCTAGAATCGCAGTCTCTAGACCCATGCTGTCCACTACTGTAGCCTCCGGCCACACGTGGCCATTGAGTGTAAGGCAGCTAATCCAAATGGAATTAAAAGTGTAAAACGTACACTGGGTCTGAAAGGCTTAAAAACATGCAAAACATCTTAATTACATTCTATACTGACTACAAGTTCAAATGATATTTCAACTCTAGTGGAGTAAAATGTGTATTAATTTCACCTGCTTCTTCCCACTTGTATTACTGTGGCCACTAGAAAATCTAAAATTACATATATGGCTCTCATTTCATTTCTACTGGACAGAGCTGCTCTAGGTATTCTATATTTCTATGACAACCAATAAATTATGAGCACCTACTAGGGGCCAAGCACCCTTACAGGCTCTAGAGCTGCAGTGTGAAGAGACAAGGCCTGACCTTACGGAGCTTCCTGCCTGCTGGGAAGGCAGCATTTGGTGGTGATTTGTAAACATAGCCAAATCTAGATGATGCCACTCAACATTTAGTACAAAAATCAAGTACCAAGTACTGACTACATCCTTTGTTCTTCTTGTGCTCTCAGGTTCTCCCAAAGATGACATCACACGTGGTAAACGAGATTGATAACATATTGCGCAACAAGCCCTACAGCAAAAAGGACTATAGATCCTAAGGCAGTGCATGGGCCCCAAGGAGCTGCCTGGGTAAAACAGGTCTGTACAGGATGGTGTTACTAGCCAGTGTTTTGAATCACTTAGCAGCCCACCGCTCAACCTCTAGTGTCCCTGGATTCTGAGGTGTCTGCTGTCGCCACCACTGTGCACCTAAAATTATGAACATACCTGAAAACTCACAAACAGGAAAATCCATTCTATTTTCTTACCTTGGACTGGAGTCACCTACATTGCTCTGTACACCTCATGTTTAGGCAAAGTTAAGTATATGGCAGGGAAAAGACATATTACCTTCAGGCACGGATATATTACAAAATCCACAGATTCGGTGTGGATTGCATCAGAAAGAGGAGGCTATGTTCACTCAGAAGTCTTGCTTGAGAGAATCAGATGAAACAATTTTACTGTATTTTTTTTTTCTATTTGCACATTCACGTTGTTTCATAAATTACTATCTGCTTTCATTACCTTTTAGCGTTGCTTGGCCTCAGAAATGGCCCTGTAGGCAGGTTCTCCAAAGTGTCTGTTAGGATTCTAATAATATGTTCATTTACATGGAGAGACGGTAAGAGGATGAAGACCCCCACCTTTAACTAGAGATAGTTTGGTTAATTTATGAAAGCAAGAATTACACTAATACAGAAGCTTTGCTTTGAATAAAATGTACCTGCAATGAAGTACTCATTTTTTTCCACATTTTACTAAAACCTGCTTTATACTTTTTGACTGCTTGTAGGCGCAGCTTCTGCAAGTTTAAATATTTGAGCTTTAAAAATAAATACACACATGCTCACTTTTGTAAGTAAACCTGTAAAAACATCCAGAAAGGCAAATGTTTGCTGTTCAATTAGCACTGGGATTTTACAGCATAATGCTTGGTGTTAACATGAAATTAAATCATGGGCTTTGTGAAAATGCTGCCACTACTCAACATATGCTGGGTAAAGTAACACACCCAAAGACAAGCAAATGTTAAAGAACTTCCGACTCCATAATCACACTATGTGCATTAAATTATACGCATGAAACCTCTTTGCATGGATTAATGGGGCCTAGCCTTGTGGCACTCAGCTGAGGTATCCAGCCCTGCCACTATTGGCTGCCTACCCTCATGAATATACCACTAGAGAAAACCTGAGTATACTGTGTGTATACCTGTAAGGAGTGAGAAAACTTTTTTCTAGTTTGAAGGTGTATGTCAAGGGGGGAGGTCCTATATCTCTATTTGGACACCTGAGCATGTACAAAATTCTAATTTAATTTACTGGCCAACAGGTCCACCCAAGTAGAAATCACTGAAACTTACAGAAGAAGTATACTATCAGCTTAAAATGCTATTTTCTGCCATCATTTCCAGATATGTATTTCATGGTTTTCTAATCTTAAAATGTTAGTATGAAATACCAACAAATTTTCTTGTTGATTACTATTACCTGTATTCTAATAGAGAAATAGTTTGGGGTTTTCTGTCCAAAAGTATCAGATTAATAATGGAAATGGGTCATTTTTCAGTTGTTCATTGTGTGTTCAATCAATCCAGTGAACTACTGTATGCATAAATGAGCTGAAGTCATTTAATTGGAATTGCAATTTATTTGCTTTGAGTAATAAAAGCATACATGCATTTAATCTCACAATTACTTTTTATCTGGTCTATCACTAGAAGGCTATATATATATATATGTATATATCTTTACAAAACAGGCAGTAAGAATCTAAATAAAAATAATGCTGGCAGGTAAGCCTCACTGAATGATACCTAACAGAAATAGCTTTACAAAAAGACTTAAATTGTAACCCAAACTTTTCTTCACTTAATGGATAAAGTGATTGGCTACTAAAGATATTTCTCCTTGGATTTTAGAAATATTCGGTACTAAGGTTAAACGTTCTCAAACTCATTTAAAAGAACCTGTAGGGACTTTGCTAGTGGTCCAGTGGTTAAGAATCTGCCTGCCAATGCAGTGAACATGGGTTCAATCCCCGGTCCAGGAACTAAGATCCCCCATGATGCAGAGCAGCTAAGCCCACGCACCACGGCTGAGGCCTCGCACTCTAGAGCCCATGCTCCACAACAAGAAGCCACTGCTCTCTAACTAGAGAAAGCCTGCAGGCCGCAAAGCAGACCCAGCACAGCCAAAAATAAAGAGATGTAATTATTAAAAAAAAAAAACACTGCAAATTAAATCAAACAAACATTACTGCTTGACCATGGGAACATACAGTTTAATACTCAAATCATCTGCCATGGTGAATATACTGGATAAATACAGTTCACAATTTTATCCTTAAGAAAAATTTCCATGCACTCTCATTTTCTTCTCTTTTCTGGAAAGACTTCCTTGGCAGAGAACATACCATTCCAAAGGGTAACCTGGGTGGCAGCCAGCCACATACTGAAACTTCGGCCAAGGGAAATAAAAACTAGCAGCCCTGTGTCTGGCGTCCCACTTTGAGAACTGCCACTTCATCTTCATCCATGGTGTGCACCAGGGGTCACTGGAGAGATGTCAGGGCTTTGACCGGCCTTCACCAGCCTTGAGCCCACCCTGCTCCTTGCCAATGAGGAACCCAGACCTGATGATATTAAAGGACTCACCCCAACTCATACGCAAGGTGATGGCAGAACGAGGCCTGGAATCCAGTATGTTGTGCTCCCGTCTAGAGGTCTTTCAGGGGTGCTTTTTTTCTTTAGCTTTAAAGTGAAAGTGTTTGACTTTTTAAGTTAAAAAAGCTTGGCTATGGGGACTTCCCTGGCGGTCCAGTGGCTGAAACCCCTCGCTTCCAATGCAGAGGGCTTGGGTTTGATCCATGGCTGGTGAACTAAGATCCTTCAAGGCTTGCGGTGCAGCCAAAAAAAAAAAAAAAAAAAGCAAGACCTTTCACAAGAATTTTGAGTATAAATCCAACCTCCGTATTTGTTAACCTCAAACTTGTTTCAAATTATTCTAGCCAAGTTAAAATAATATACCAAATAGGTCAAGCAGTAAATTTTTACTGGCTAAGAATTATTTCAACCCAAGTTCTTATTAAGTTATAATGAATAAAGAAACTAAAAACAGGGAAATGTAAAATGTTCCAGCACTTATCACAAGGGGTGTCAAAACTGGAATTAAATCACTCTGAATCCCAATTAGAGTAAAACCTCTTTAATTCTCCTGGTGTTGGATATGGGGTATTTTTAAGATAAAAATTCTACAGCTGGTTTTTACCAACTAAGCCAGATCCAGTACGTCATAATTCTGTGCGCTAGTCCTTCCAGATGACGGGGAGAGGAATGGGGGAAAGGTTTTGGAACTCCCAACAGTAAAGCACTGCATGGCAGGTGCTTAATGGAAACTGTGGAACCATCAGAAACTGATACACAGGAATTTATCTAACAGTACAGAAACTATTACTTTAATTAAAAACAAAGAGTGCCATAGGAAAAAATCAGGAACAAAACCAGATTTTGCTTCCTCCCTTTCCTACAAATTATTCAGTTTATTAATTCAAGAGACAATTTACTAAGAATGTAACACTGATGCCCCTATTTCGGCCCCCCATCTCAGGTATCCTGTATTATAACACTAATTTTTTCCCATCTGTACAGGCGCTGCCATCTAGTGGCAATTTTTTACCTGCACGTTAAAAATTACAGGTAAAAAATTGGCCCAACTTTGGTAACAAATAGTAAATACTGGTGGCTTGTTAAACAGTCATTTTGTCAAATAAGCAAATACACTTGGTATAAACAGCAGGTCACCAGTCAAACTATTTGACTCATTAATCAACAGGGAAAAAAAGTTAAAACATAATTAATTCTTATGTGCCATACTGACACTTTTGCAGGGTACTTCTGACTTTCCCCCCATTCACTCCATATTATTCAGGGATGGCACAGGTAACAGTGCACCAGAGGAAAGTAAAGAACTGCAAACTTCTAGAAGCCGTGATGAACTATAATCCTCAGCTGAAAACAATGATGATCTGGGTCACTAGGCAAATGTACTCCTAGCTCATTTTCCTTCCAGGTTCTTAGGTGGCCTCCCCAAACTTCTAACAGATGGAAACAGAAGATGAACTCCTGGTGAGTATCTTTCTATAAGCAGTGAATGCAACATTTACCTTAAATTTAGAAGTGGAAACCAAATATTAAAGTTCAGATTAGAAACTGGGAACATATTTCCTTTGAGGTATTGCTTATAGAATGGGATACCCAAATGTAAAGTTCGATCCCTGGGTCGGGAAGATCCCCTGGAGAAGGAAACAGCAACCCACTCCAGTATTCTTGCCTGGAAAATCCATGGACAGAGGAGCCTGGTGAGCTACAGTCCATGGGGTCACAGAGTTGGACACAATTTAGCAACTAAACAACAATAAGAACAAACTGCTTATAGAAAGATACTGAATGTGGTCAAAAGCTAGTATCACCTGTGAGTCCATAACCTTTTAAGTGATGAAAATTCAAGAAAAGCTCAAACTTTTTCAAATCATGCAAAAACAATTACCTGTAAACACACTGGTTAAAAAAATGCAGGAGACTGCTCTTGGCTGAACCCACCAGGACTGAAGAGATCAGTCTTTTGTTTACAACTGATGGGGACTTGTGGACTAAAAGGTCAAATTTATGAAAGTCCTCATGGAAAAATGCTGAGCAGTACCAAAACCACTGTAATTCCTTGGAGAGTTTTTAGAATTCCAGAACTAAGATCACAAAAATTACTTTGGTCTCCTACACGTCAATATTCAGGAAAGAGACACTGTTACTCAACATTCCTCCAGTGATGTGAGACCCTGGTCAAGAGGAAACAATGATTCCGTTCTCTTAACAGGTCAAACCAACCTGGGAGGGTTGAGCTAAGCCCCCTGGACACCCACCCAGGGCTAATGCTACAGAGCTGGACACTGTGTGGTTTAACCCCACGGGACAACTCTCATATGCCTAGGTACTATTTTTAGGTTATTACCTTGGCTGCCTTTCTTCTTAAAAAGAAAAAAAAAAAACAACACAACTTTTCCACAAGTTTCTCTTCTCCAAGTTAGAGAAACCATGTTTTAACTGAGTTATTCCAAATCACAAAGTCAGAGTCTTGCAAGCGTGACGCTTCTGTTCAGTCCCCCGGAGGGAGACGATTCATTCTGATATTTATGGTTCAAAACAACGACAAAAAAAAAGTTGTAATATTGTGCTTGGAACACAGAGAACCAGTTATTAACTTCTCGCTACTATTATAAATAATAACAGCTCAGTCCAGGTTACTGTGACCTCTGACAAATCCAGGAAACAAGTTATTTTCTCCTCTTGTGATTATAACACATTGCAACACTTTTTTGCCTTTTAATAAATGTCCTGGTACTCTGAGTTTCCCTTTCAATTCATTTAATTTCAACAATCTGTCCAAAAAAAAAAGAGCCAATAAACAAATATTGAATTACATTTTGTTGGGTTTTTCAAGCTCCATACGTATACAAACAGCTTGCGTGTCTTCCACCCTGACCACCCTGCTACTTTTCCGCACACCACAGGCCACCCACGGACACAAAGTTTGTGGGGAGGAGGGGGTGGCAAAGCTGAGGCAGTCTACTTGGAGCCAGTGGACAGGAGGGCGATGAGGCCTGAGGAAGCACTCATGGACAAAATGTAGTTCCTATAAGAATTCAGTGTTAAGGAAAAATCAACCCCAGATTGGTTTTCAACAAAACAAAAAGAACCCACCTCCTTGGAATGTACTGTTTTCCTCCTGACACCCTGTCTAATGACAATAATGTGCAGTCCCATTGTCTGCAAATACAATTTACCAGAGAGGAGACTATAAAGAATGAAGAACATTCACAGGAAATATGTTCCAACAGCAAACACTTGAGACAAACCTAGGATGCATGATCACAAAGAAAACATCTGAATTCCATTTAACCTTCAGCAAAAGAGCTGATCAAAGAACACAGCGAGGAAGAAGAGACTTGATTTCTTTACCAACCCCCGCACCAAGAGCAAAGGAAAAATAAGTTTCCCTTGTCCATCAGTGTTTTGGCTACAGCTGGCCTGTGAAAGCAAGGAGGTTCACAAAGTTTGCAGCCACTCTGTCTCAGGGCTAGAGTGTTCGGGGCAAATCACTCCAGTATTCCCAGAAGATAAAAGTTGGAGAGTATCCGCTATTTTATTACATCAGAATCTCCTACTGTTGAAAATTTGGCTGCACATTCCTGGATAACACTTTTAATAAATTACCTTAACAAGAGAAGACTGATTCTTGCCCAAAAGCTCAATTTAAGAGCAACTTGAGACACTATTAAGCTGTTATGAAATGTGCCAATGTAACTCCACTGGCTATCCACCCGACCCCAAAGCCCCAAAGTACCAGCAGATACAGGGCTTATGCCAGGAGCTGTCAAAGAAGGCAAGTTTGCTTTGGCTACTTAACTTAGCCATATTTGTCTTTTTTTAACCAAGCAGGTACACGTCATCATACATGTAAGACTGCTTTGCAATACTCATTATTTATCATGAAGTCTTGATCATAAAATTAAAAGAACTTCAAATCAAACCAAAAGCCCTTAAACATCCAGAAACATGCCTAAGGTCACAGTGCTTATTAAGGGACTGACTCCCTTTGCAGTTTTTGTTACCAAAAACCACTCAGACAAATAAAAACCAAAATGAACTGTTTCTAGACTTCTAAAAAGGATAATAAACCTTTAAAAGGATACACTGTGGGGTTGAAGTTCTTCAGTATAAAGAAGGAAGCAACAATGACCAAGACCAGAAATAGGGTGTTATTATAGAAGATGGAAAATGTTGTAGCTTCATAATCAGCAACTTCATTCTTCTTCCACAAGATTCTGTGGACACAGAAACAAGTCATTTAGTTTTTCAGTAGGCACTAAAAATGTTAAATACCACACGGTTCGAGCTCATTGTAAGATAAGTTCTTCCTTAAGTGTTCTGGGCAGAATATTAAATTCAGTCAGCATTGTCCCCTTTATTCTACTAAAAAAGATGATATTTCACTTTATCGATGCTCAGAAATTCCCTGGTGGTCTAGTAGTCAGGATTCAGTGCTTTCAATGCCAGGGCCGGGGTTCAGTCCCTGGTCAGGGAACTAACGTTTATCGATGCTCAAGCAGCTGGGTATATTACCTTTTGGGTATATTACCTTTTTTCCCAGCAGTTTAAGCTTTGGAGGAAGGAACTGATTAATCACAATTAGCTTGGTTTTATCAGCAACCAAAATAGGCATCTTTCTCTAGATACTCACTGAAAACAAACTATTGATCAGCAGCCTGAAAGGGCCTCCTCGGCCGTTTGCAGGCTTGAGACTCTCTACAGTCTACACAGCTCAGCCTTTGATGTTACACCTTAAGACAAGCCCATGGACGAAACCAGCTGTGGCATCACAGAAACAGACTTGTCTGTGCTCTCTTTAGCCACCTTTACTTAATTCGAACTAAGAATCTGCTTGATCATTAGGAGGAATTTTTACTCCTGTGAAACCCACCTACTTTTTACTTAATCCACTTTTCTTTTACCATTTCACAGGGGCAAAAGGAAGTTTCAGGGTGCCTGTGAATAAGGGGATCTTTATTCTCCTCAGTTAATTAACTTTGTAAAGCAATTTTTCAAAGAGTAGGTAGGTTGTAACCTAGTAATGGGATGTGAAATCAACTGAGTGGACCCACTGTTCAGGAAAAATTACTGAGTGAGTTGTGACCAACATGTTAAAAAAACATGAAATGGGAAAAAAACAGAAAAGTATCAAGTGTATCAAATGCAATAGGGTAATAATTTTGTTCTATGGAACATTTACATGTGTGTATGTAAAAGTATTTGGTCAAACAGTAAAATATTTTTACTGTGGTTCATTATCTAAAAGGCTCAAAATCACTGCCATTGATGCTTTCTCCCCCAGAAAAATACATTACTCTAGGGCCACATGGTACCCCCAACTAATCCTAAGGCTAGCACAATGGCTAATGTCATTGTAACTGCCCTGTTTTATTGACCAACTGTTGTAATGCAAAGTCAACAAGCATGGCTATAAAGGAGCTAAATGAAAGGTATTAGCTCCTTGTCTTCATTGGAAGAAATTTGTGATTTCTAATATATATGCCATGTTTCCTTGATTCTGTGGATACCATCAACTTAATAAATCTTAGTCTACTGTAAAGTTTGGGAGAGGTGAAGGACCTTACATTAAATGCAGCTATCAACTATAAAGCAGCTTCTGATTTCAGAGAAGTTTAAATGTAAATTTAAAAAAATACATGATTTGGAATTAACACAATGTTCCATTTTATCAATGATCAAAGAAAACACCCGCCTGGTCCAGAAATGTCCACAGTCTCCTCATGGTTTAATGCTACAAAACACTGTTTTTAAGACTTTGGGACAAGACCCAGTGAAGACAGGCTCCTTAAATAGGCTACAGGCATGATTTTACTGTTGGCAATTAAATTATCCTGCCTCTACCACAGCGCTTCTCCCAAACTCCCTGCCAAGCCCTGAATCAGAACTAACTTCAAGGTGTTTTTCATGAAAGAGTGGTTCAATCGTCTAGGCTGTCCCAGCTCCCAAGGGCCATGTGTTACATGGGGGTATACCCAGTCAGAACTGTCGGGCAGCTCTCAGAGCTTTTTCTAGTCCAGCCATATCCTGGTTTATTTCGAAGGTTAGGACTCCCAGTCCCCCTCAGCAGTGGTGGTTCTGCCAGAGCCTCACTGGTAAGAAACCTAGTTTGGGAGAGCACTTCTCAAATAGTCCTTTGTCCAAGGAGGACTTCCTAAAACAGGAGAGAAGCGGAGACCATACTCAACAAGTCTTACAATCTGATAATACTAAACAATGGACCATCAGTAAGTCAAGAAGAAATTACATTCATATCCTGGGACAAGCATTAATGAATCTGATCCTCCTCTGCTAGTTTTCATCCTTGCATAGATGGAAAAGCAGTTCCAAGTGGCACATAATCCATATTCCAAATGATTGTAGATGGAGCTTCGAGAGATATCCATCTGGGTAGAAACATGCCAACAAGGTTTCTCTTAAATCTCTCGGAAGCAACTAGTCTCTGAGAGAGAAAAAACACTAGATCTTAAAGGGAGTTGTGGATCCAGTTACCGTATCAATAAAGACTACAGACCTTGGTACAACTCTATCCAGTGTGGCCTTTGTGAGAGGCCACAATTACAAACAGCACAAATTTCTACTGATGACAAGAACAGACTTTATAATTTTCTGATGCTCTGAATTTTAAATATCAATAAACCTCCACTTCACCCTAATCTGAAATATCTGATCCAGCCAATAGCAAAGAGGCTTCATTTCTGATTCCAACTGATCTGCTGGTCAAGGCTACCTTTCTACCATGCTGAGAAAGATTCTGAGACACATCCCAGGACAAAGAGCAAGTACCAGACCAAATCAGGAAGTCTGTGGTGGGCAGAGAAACCCATTTGCCCTCTCTGATATAATTAGTCATCTAAAATCTCTAAGACTTGTAAAAGCTTATAAAAAGCATTTTGAAATTCGGGTAACTATAAAGTGCACTCCAATTTAAGAACCACTGTTCTAATAAAAATTGTAATTCAATAAAAAGGTTAAAAAAAAAGTGGTCTAGATTCTCTAGTATCTATCCCTATGCAAAAATTTGTGATCAAAAAGTTACGCAGAGCCAGAAGTCCTTAGGGCTGCTCCCTAAAAAACAGGCCTTTGCCCTCGGGACTTTAATAGTGTTCCTTCAGTTTTATGAAGGATTCATAAGACATAATCACTTCAGTAATGTTTTGGTGCCTGTCCAAAACCACTGTAGAAGACACTGTTCATTAAGTTACTCTGTGTCCCTTAAGTAAGGATCCACTTGATAAAGTCCATCCAAGATTCAGTGCCAGGAAAGTTTCTCTTCAGAAGGACATGCCTGCTGCTTCTCATCCGACAACGAAAGCTGGATGACCGCAGATGTACCCTCTGACGCTTGGAAGCTCGGAGCTAGGTTCTGTGCCCAACTGCTCTAACTAACCCTGAGGTCCTCATTCATCCACCTCTTCCTACTTTTCACCGGTTTCTGATCTTTTACAATTGTACTGCTTTGTTTTATATGCAATTTAATATTGTAAGTCCCCACAAAGTCTTTCTGGAGCAAAGTGGGATAAAAATTCCATTTCACAAAGCACCTTATGGACACTAAAACTTAAAATCCATGAAAACAGGCTCAGCTTGTGACTTTGTTAAACCATCTGGCAACTCTTAAGCGCAAGTTTACTCCATCGTTCAGACTTGTATTCAGACGTCAGACTGTTCATTAGGCTTCTAACAGCAGCCGGCAGGAAAAACTGGGGATGGCGCTAATAAAGATGGCAAAGAATTGGGCAACAGGAGACAAACCCAATTCTTTTCTTTTTCCCCAACAATGCAGATGACCAGCAACCAGATGTGCCCAGGGAAGTTCAGGAGCAGAAATACCACCACCTAGAAACGCTTGCACGGAACACAGTGTAAAAGCCTCCAGACACAGGGGTCAGGCAGCTCACGGCGGCGGAGGCGAGCGCTGCACACAGCTTGGCGCGTGCCTAAACCCAGCAGGGCGGGGCAGGGCAGGCTCATGTCAGACTGCCCGATCCTTACACACCCTGATCTGTGACCGTGGAGCAAGCTATCCCAGCTTTCTGTTCCTCAGACTCCTCAGGCGTAAAGTGGAGAAATCAACAGTACCTACCTCGTGCTTTCCTTGGAGGAAAGCATCTGGTGGTAATAAACGCTCCGAAAGTCAACTATCCTCATTACCACAACGTCTACAGCACCGCCGTTTCTCTCAGACAATTCTGATACCCATGTTCTTTAAGCAGAAACCAAAAGAGCTTTATTTTCTACAAACACCCCCCTTTCTGGTTACCACAAACACTTTGAATAGGGAGTCAAACCTTTCATCCTTTTCCTTCCGAGACATCTTTCTATTATCAGCTTCAGAGAGTTTCCGAGTCACTTCTTTGGAGACAGCATCTTCCCTCTTCTGTGCTACTCTGAAAGGAAAAGAAAAAAGTCTCTACATGCTCCAGGAGTGAACACTGCTCTCTCTCAGAAACACTCTGTACTCTGAGCTTGTACTGGCAACTGTGTCATACTTTACATTTCAAGAAAACAAGCTGGACAGAAAGTCCCAAGCTTATTACACTGTACTAGCCAAAAGAGGGAGTTCAAGGAACTTCCAAGATGTGGTTTATTAGTGGTGTGTTTTGAATTCTGCTTAAAAGGGAGAATTTTCCAAAGTTAGGTATTTAACATGGAAATAACAGTCAAATGCTATTAGCACAATTTAGTTATGAATCATTATAGCTCCACTTGATTTTAACTCATAAATTAACTGTTCCACAAATAGATTTGTTAAGGCACTGGTAAATGACACATGATTTCAATTCCAGTATATAACCGGAGAGAAAACTAAGCGTAGCGAAATCTAAAATCTTAAAGTAAAGCTTTTAACTCTATTCAAAAGGGGAATATCACTAAAAAGAAATATTACCACCTGGTGAAGGACTGACCCTGCTGCTGCTGCTGCTGCTGCTAAGTCGCTTCCATCGTGTCCGACTCTGTGCGACCCCATAGATGGCAGCCCACCAGCCTCCCCCATCCCTGGGATTCTCCAGGCAAGAACACTGGAGTGGGTTGCCATTTTCTTCTCCAATGCATGAAAGTGAAAAGTGAAAGTGAAGTCGCTCAGTGTCTGACTCTTCGTGACCCCATGGACTGCAGCCTACCAGGCTCCTCTGCCCATGGGATTTTCCAGGCAAGAATACTGGAGTGGGGTGCCATTGCCTTCTCTGAAGGACTGATCATAGCAGTTTGTTAAATAAACTACCGGTTTGAGAGTTGCACCAAGAGATAATATGGAATCAGTCAGAAAAGGCTGAAAATGGCATTTGAGAAATCAGATAAGAATATTTAGTGATGAATCAGATAAAGAAAAAAAAAAGACAATCCTAAAAAAAAAAAAATCTACGAGATAAATTTTATCAGATGCGGTTGCCAGTGAAAGAGAAGATAAAATTTAACCTATGATGAAATACAAAAGCCTCCCAAAGATTAGATATTTAAATTTGATGATTTACTTTTCATAATATAGGACAAACTGACTACCTGTGAACATAGAAAAAGTAATAACTGATCACAAGCAAAATATAGCAATTATCTACAAAGTCTCACTAAAAAATCTTTCAACACAATACTGAGATGTATTAAAAGCCACAGATGTAGACCAGAGAGACAGATATCTGTTCAATCCATGTTCCAATCCCTCATTACTACACTACATTAAGTTCTGGTCAGTGGACCAAGGAAAACTGTGGAAAAATCAGGATGGATTCCTGAAAAGTCCAAGATCATGAACAGCAATAGTTTTCAACCTTCAACCACATGGGCTTCTGGGCTACAAATTAAGCCATTTTCTACGCCAGAGGATCTTCCTGACCCAGGGATCGAACCTGCGTTTCTTGCATCTACTGCATTGGCAGGTGGATTCTTTACCACTGAACCCCCTGAGAAGGCCCAAATTTGGGTTGATTTTATCTATCTCTCACTCAATAATCAAGTTAGAAGTGACACTGTTAAAAACAAAATCTTCAGTCAGCTTTGACTAATGTATTTTTCCACAAATTGGTAATTGGAGGGAGGAAACCCAGTTAGAAAATAGGTAAAAGGAAATAGGTTCTGAAATGTAAAGAAAATAGCAGCTAAGGGAGCAGGTAGCTATTTTAAGAGCTACTTTAAGACACTAAATAGAACGTTATAATGCCCTGCTATCCCTGGCTCATTGTATTAACGTAAAATTCTGTTCTGCAGGCAGAGACTCTCATCTCTTAATCTCCAGCAAATCCAAGGCACTCACTAAATGTTTCTTGAACCTCACATAAGACTGCTTTTTTCTAAGAAAGGCCAACTGGTAAGAAATGGACATGACTTACAGCAAAAATCTTTCTTAGCTGAGCAGAGGGGGAAAACACACACGTACGTACACACACACACACACACGCACACACGCACACACGCACACACCCCAACTGTCAGGATGCTAGGACATAAGAATAAACTATTTTCATAACAGCTGGCTCTAGGCGTGTCTCAGACAAGCAGTCAGTCATCTGTCCTGAAGACACTGACCCAGATAACTAACTTCTCTTCTGTGTCTAAAATTCTGTACTTGCCTGAAGAGACACTGACAACTACACTGTAGGTTTATTACAGCTCGGCCCTACCCTCCATCTCAGTGCTCTCAGAAAACAAATCTCTCATCACTCAATGCTCTGAAACAGACTGGGGCAAATCCAGGGGCCCAGCACCCAGCCAACTGAGATTAAAAAAAAAGTCTTCATAAAAAACTTAAAAATCATACCATCTTAAAAGAAATTCCTATGCGCTCTCTCACCTCCAACCTCTCTGACACTGCACACAAACATTTATTACATGCCGATCACCATGCTTTACATGTCACACGTACCATATTTAATCCTGACCATCCCAAGAGGTACTATTAGTACTCCCATTTTACAGCCCAGAAATCTGAAGTGTCAAAAGATAGAATGCAGGCCCAAGGGTCTGCACTTCAGAGGAGCAGAGTGGGAACTGGAATACAGACTATAGACTCCGAAACCATTCCCTCTACCACCACCACCTACCCACACTCAGCATCTTGCGGGCTCTTTAAGCCTTAACAATCTTACCAATCTGGAGTTTCTCTGTCGGTAGCAATATTTACTATTAAACCAAAACAATGATGACTAAAATGTAATTCCACTCAGAGATCCTATTAAGTCAGTAAATGTAATTGTTAGTCGTTCAGTTTTGTCCAATTCTTTGCAACCCCATGCACTGTAGCTCACCAGGCTCCTCTGTCCATGGAATTCTCCAGGTAAGAACACTGGAGTAGGTAGGCATTCCCTTCTCCAGGGAATCCTCCCTATCCAGGGAATGAACCCAAGTTTTCCGCATTACAGGCAGAGATCACTGAAATTTCACCGAACTAAACAAAATGTATCACTAACTATCATAAGAAAAATAAACAAAGGACATGGAAGCTGTGCTCAAGAAGTGGGAAGTAAAACTGAGGGGAAAGAGCATGATTTTTGACTCATGTAGAACAAGTGAAAAATGCTAGGTCCCAAAGAGACCCAGGTCCAATGGAATCACAAAGGATGGCTCATGCAAAACCCACTCTGAGGACTTCACTATATCCACAGAAGGCCATGCCTCATGAGGACCGCCCAGGACGGCAGAGGCCGAGATGGGCTGAATTCTGAAACGGCAGCTGGCGAAGAGGGGCTGCCAAGCAGGGAGGCAACAGCGATGACCTGGATTTAGCTGTTCCAGCAACTGTCAGGCACAACCTAGACTCCTACGGATCCAGGACGACAGCGGGGAGGCTTACAATAATCCCTGTCAACTGAGACCATCTCAAGGTGCTTCTGCTCCTCATCACCAGGAAGTCTGACACAGGAACAATGAAGACAGTTAGGATTTCTCTGGAAAGGATTCCTAAGGCTTAAAATAACAGACATGTAAGAATGGAAAGAAAGGGAGACGTTTCTAAATGAGGGAGGGGAGGAGCCATGCTCAAAGGATGACACGAGGCTGAGTTGGAAGGCCTAAGCCCCAATCCTGAAAGACTGGTAGGAGGCAGGGGATTCACATTCCAAGGGCCTGGGGAATCTGGTTTTAATACTTCTAGAAAAGAGAATGCCATGAAGAGTTATTAGGAGAGTGACATGACAAAATGAAGGAAGAAACAGAGGAAATATGGTGGTCTAATTAGCATTAAAAATGTCAGGGTTGAGTAAAAGAAAAAAGACCACTTCTTTCACATCCAAAAATTCCACATGGAGAGTCCAGAACAATTCTTTCCAGAATTCCATTTGACTTTTAAAATGTTAATTTACTTGGTGGGTTTGCTTTTCTGAGCCCCATGATTAAGGCTAGTACTTAAGTGTCCTAATTCCAACCTCAACACCCACTTCCATAGCAGTGTTAGCAGCACTGTCTCTGCTTTTCAGTTAGTTGCTATTCCTTCATACCATTATTTCTGATTACATATTTTGCAATCATATATACATACCCCCCAAACACACATACACATATATTTCGAATTAATCCAAATGTACATACACATCTATCTCCCCCAAATATAAACATATATGTGTATATACACACATATATCTCAAATTAATCCAAATATACATACACATATCTCCCCCCAAATATACAAATTAATGCTTACCAAAACACACACACACAAATGGTCTTTCAGAAGTCACCCTACTATATAAAAATGCAACAATATTTACTTTCACTTGAGAAATATACTTACTTGTGCTTGAGAACAAATTTCACATTTTTGTAAGCAAAGGCTACCAAGTAAGTGCTTACTAGGGTCATCACACTATACAGAACAGCAGACTGAATAAGATCCATATGCCATATTCGCCAATATAGCCCTGAATTAAGATAAAAGGGGGTGGGGGAATACAAAAAGAAACAAAACATTACCACCCAGGTACAGAAACCTGATGAGTTATTAATAATTATAGCTAAACCTGGTAAAATACAGCCCGGATCAGGGAATCCAATACAGTGTAAGAAGAACTTCATAAGTGTGATATCCAGTAAAAAGTCTCAAGTGTTTCTAGTTCAGAATACTCGAAAAACATAACCTTACTATAACTAGTCCATGATGAGATTTCTGCTGCTTCTAGAATGAGAACTTCGGGTCAACAAAATCACGATTCAGACTTCAAATTTCATTCTTCAGGGTACTATCACACGAACTACAAGTCATTCCGAGACTCCACGTGTAGTCCCAAACCAGAGTTCACACGCTGACGTGGCTGTTATCTGAAATCGAGGCAATGCTCAGTGCGGTCAGCGAACCATGTTAATTGCACGCTGGGTTTTATAAAGTCGGGAGGGAAAATACATCTGGATCTGCCCAACAACAGCGCAACAATGTAGTAGAGAGGAAATTGACATTTGGGATTCCTAAAATCTAAAAACAACCTTGGCCAAGGCTGTAAAGTTTGTCCATTCAAGTAAGAATTCTAGAATTGCCTAACAGAATTATTAAAAAGTTTAACCACAGTAGAGCTTGGGACTTTGGCACTGGTCCAGCTTCTTTCGGAAAATAACGTTCTGTGTGAACCAGTTCTAAAGCTACACTTATAATTCAGTGCGAATGTTAATGTCTCTAACCTTAATTCATGAGTTTCTCCAAAGTAAGTAAAACGTTTAAGATATCGTAACAGCAAACGATAGTTATACAGGGCGAGGGGGTAGGGGGAGAACAGGCGATATGCCCGTTAGCATCACAAGATCCTAACCCGGGTGTTAGCTGAAATACAGATTTGAGGCCGCCATCGCAGAACCACAATCCGCAGACCCGAGGCCCGGGAATGAGCTAGCCTACTTTTACAAGGTGCTACAATGACTTTCCTGGGATGCCACCCACCACGATCCCGGACAGATCACGGAGGCCCACAGAGGCTGCGTGCAGCCCCCCGTCCAGGGGGAGCTGGGGGACAGCGCGGGCTGCGGCGCACGCCTCGCCCTCCGCACGGCGCTGCCACGTCCCCGCCCAGCCTAGCCCTGCCCAGCCCGTCTCGCTCCAAGCGCTCACAGATGGGGATGGCGGACACGATGAAGGCGTTCCCGAAGAAAAGCGCCGAGGACTTGGCCGAGAGGTTGCGGCTGAAATCCTGCAGGAGCAGGTCCTCCTCGGACTGCTGCTTGGGGCCGCCTTTGGGAGCCATGGTGGAATCGGAGCCGCGGGACGCGCGCGGAACCGGGCGCAGAGCGGGGAAGAAGCCAGCGTCACCGCCTCAGCAGCCACCGTATCCGCCAACGACCAGTCAGCGCCGCGCGCGGAGGCGGGACCGGGCTTGGAACAAACACCCGCAGGATTGGCCAGCCTGACACCACTTCGTAGGTTTCTCCGGCGTGATTAGGCAGGCGGGCCAGACTTCCGGATTCCTAGCCGGCCACGTGACTCGTCACTTTCTAAGAGGAAGCCGGGACTTGTAGTTTAGTGGGCGCTATTAACAAAACTTTATTAACATTCTGTTTCAAAGATGCTGATAGACTCCTGCTTTCCAAGCCCTGAAAATTCCAAAACATGAACCTCTTCGTCTTATGGTCATTCATTCATGGAGTGTATGGTTTAACTGGCTCTGTGGGTAAGCAGAAGATATTAAGAGATGGCAAGAATACACAGAACTATACAAAAGGGCTCTTAATGACCCAAATAACCACAATGGTGTGATCACTCACCTAGAGCCAGACATGCTGGAGCGCGAAGTCAAGTGGGCCTTAGGAAGCGTCACTACCAACAAAGCTAGTGGAGGTGATGGAATTCCAACTGAGCTATTTCAAAGTCTAAAAGATGACGCTGTTAAAGTGCCGCACTGGAAATGCCAAGAAATTTGGAAAACTCAGCTGTGGCCACAGAATTGGAAAAGGGCAGTTTTCACTCCAATCCCAAAGGAAGACAATGCCAAAGAATGTTCAAACTACCGCACAATTGTGCTTATTTCACATGCTAGCAAGGTAATGCTCAAAATCCTTCAAGCTAGGCTTAAGCAGTACCTGAACGGAGAACTTCCAGATGTTCAAGCAGGATTTAGAAAAGGCAGAGGAACCAGAAATCAAACTGCCAACATCCATTGGCTTATAGAAAAAGCAAGAAAATTTCAGAAAAATATCAACTACTTCTTCGTTGACCCTGCTAAAGCCTTTGATTGTGTTCAATTCAGTTCCATCACTCATCATATCCAACTCTGTGTGGACCCCATGGACTGCAGTACGCCAGGCTTCCCTGTCCATCACCAACTCCACACAGTCAAAGGCTTTTGCATAAATTAATAAAGCAGAAGTAGATGTTTTTTCTGAAACTCTCTGGCTTTTTTGATGATCCAGTGGATGTTGGCAATTTGATCTCTGATTCCTCTGCCTTTTCTAAATCCAGCTTGAATATCTGGAAGTTCACGATTCACATACTGTTGAAGCCTGGCTTGGAGAATTTCGAACATTATTTTGCTAGCATGTGAGATGAGTGCAATTGTAAGGTATTTTGAGCATTTTTTGGCACTGCCTTTCTTTGAGATTGGAATGAAAACTGACCTTTCCAGTCCTGTGGCCACTGTTGAGTTTTCCAAATTTTCTGGCATATTGAGTGCAGCACTTTCACAGCATCATCTTTTAGGATTTGAAATAGCTCAACTGGAATTCTATCACCTCCACTAGCTTTGTTGGTAGTGATGCTTCCTAAAGCCCACTTGACTTCACATTCACATTCGACTGTGTGGATCACAACAAATTGCAAAATTCTAAAAGAGATAGGAGTACCAGATCACCTTACTGCCTCCTGAGAAATCTGTATACAGGTCAAGAAGCAACAGTTAGAACCAGACATGGAATAACAGACTGGTTCCAAATTGAGAAAGGAGTACATCAAGGCTGTATATTGTCACCTTTTTAATTTAATTTATTGTGAAATTCTGGACTGGATGAAGCACAAGCTGGAGTCAAGATTGTCAGGACAGATATCAATAAGCTCAGATTTGCAGATGACCCCACCCTTATGGCAGAAGCAAAGAGGAACTAAAGAGCCACTTGATGAAAGTGAAAGAGCAGAGTGCAAAAGCTGGCTTAAAACTCAACATTCAAAAAATGAAGATCATGGCATCCAGTCCCATAAGTTCAGTTCAGTTCAGTCTCTCAGTCATGTCCAACTCCTTGGCACCCCATGGACTGCAGCACGCCAGGCCTCCCTGTCCAAAACCAACTCCTGGAGTTTAGTCAAACTCATGTCCATTGAGTCAGTGATGCCATCCAACCATCTCATCCTCTGTTGTCCCCTTCTCCTTCCGCCTTCAATCTTTCCCAGCATCAAGGTCTTTTCCAATGAGCCAGTTCTTTGCATCAGGTGGCCAAAGTATTGGAGTTTCAGCTTCAGCATCAGTCCTTCCATTGAATATTCAGGACTGATATCCTTTAGGATGGACTGGTTGGATCTCCTTGCAGTCCACGGGATGCTCAAGAGTCTTCTCCAACACCACAGTTCAAAAGCATCAATTCACGGCAAATATGGGGAAACAATGGAAACAGTAACAGACCTTATTTTCTTGGGCCCCAGAATCACTGCAGATGGTGACTGCAGCCTTGAAATTAAAAGACACTTGCTCTTTTGAAGAAAATTATGACCAACCTAGATAGCATATTAGAAAGTAGAGACATTACTTAACTGACAAAGATCCGGCTAATCAAAGCTATGATTTTTCCAGTAGTCCTGTATGGATGTGAGAGATGGACCATAAAAAAACTGAGCACTGAAGAATTGATGCTTTTGAACTGTGGTGTTGGAGAAGACTTCTGAGAGTCCCTTGGACAGCAAGGAGATCAAATCAGTCAATCCTAAAGGAAATCAGTCCTGAATATTCATTGGAAGGACTGAAGCTGAAGCTACAGTACTTTGGCCACCTGATGGGAAGAGCAGATTCACTGGAAAAGACCCTGATTCAGGTCAGATCCCTGCTCAGGGAACTAGATGCCATGCGGCAACTAAGAGTTTGTATAAGACAACTGAAAAGAAAAAAAAATATTCTGCATTCCACCGTGAAGATCAGAGATCCTGCCTGTGGTGACTAAAACCAGGGGCAACTAAATAAATCTAAATAAATAGAGAAACAAATAAAGATTTAATTGAAGTCATGTGGCAACCTAGATAGCATATTAAAAAGCAGAGACACTACTTTGCCAACAAAAGTCTGTCTAGTCAAGGCTATGGTTTTTCCAGGGGTCATGTATGGATGTGAGAGTTGGACTGTGAAGAAAGCTGAGCGCCGAAGAATTGATGCTTTTGAACTGTGGTGTTGGAGGAGACTCTTGAGAGTCCCTTGGGCTGCAAGGAGAGCCAACCAGTCCATCCTAAAGGAAATCAGTCCTGGGTGCTCATTGGAAGGACTGATGCTGAAGCTGAAACTCCAGTGTGGCCACCTCATGCGAAGAGTTGACTTATTGGAAAAAACCCTGATGCTTTGAGGGATTGGGGGCAGGAGGAGAAGGGGACGACAGAGGATGAGATGGCTGGATGGCACCACCGACTCGATGGACATGAGTTTGAGTAAACTCTGGGAGTTGGTTTTGGACAGGGGGCTGCGATGCATGGGGTTGCAAAGAGTCCGACACGTCTGAGCGACTGAACTGAACTGATGTGGCTACCAAAGCCATACTAGATAAAACAGTACTAAGTAAAGACAACATGTTGACTGGACAAGCCTCTGGAGCTCAGAAAATTGAATATGCCAATTAAAACAGCTAAATACCATTAACTCATGGAGTTATCACTTTTTCTTAAAAAAATAATGCCCAACCACTTCAGTCTTAGCAAAAGTTTCTTTCATCTACTGACAGCAGGCAAAACTTCAACATCTGGTCCCCTATTATCATTCTGTTTCACCTTATCCAGTTGTAATTGACCTTCATAATTTCCAGTCTAATGGAGCTTTCTGTCTTCAAGCATTTTCAAACTGTTCTCTATATAGATACCACAGTGTGTTTTCCTGAAATATAAATCCTTCATTATCTACAGTAAGTGTTCCCAAATGCCAGAAGTTTTCACCAATCACAACAAAATAAAAAGAAAAAAAAATGAACTATCTAGTGAATTTTTTAGAAAACAAAGATTTCATATAAAAATGTATGCACTTATGTCTTTAAAAAGAATGTTTAAGTGCTCTTTCTTTTATTATGAAGCAGTAGTGATAGTGAAGAAACTTTTATTTTTTTTTCCCAAAATATTCTCTCTGTTTTTCCTACCTTTGTAAATCACATCCTTTCTCTCATTTGCTAAACTGTTAGGTTGCAACACTGATTCCTTCCTTTCCCTCTCTATCTGTGATCAAATCATCAGCACAATCTTTTGGATCTGTCTCTTTAACTAGATTTATTGCTTGCTACTTATGAACCAAGGATATAAAAAGAAGATAACAGATAAAATCAGAAAACTTATAAGATCAAAAGGGACAAAAATCAACAACTAGTTAAAACCAAAAGAGGAAGAAAGTAAGAAACAGTAACCATGAGGTTAAAAAGAATTACACCTAACAAAATTATTTAAACAAAAAAGATAAAAGTTTAAAATGGTAAGCAGATAAAAATTAATGCATTTTGTAACCCAAGAATAAAAACTAAAGGTAGTAAATTTGAACAGAAGGAAGGGGCTTCCCTGGTGGTCCAGTGGTTAAGAATCCAACTTTGCAATGCAAGGAACACCAGTTCTATCCCTGGTCTGGGACGATCCCCCATGTCTGGGGACGACTGAGGCCATGTTCCACAACTAATAAGCCCGCATTTGGAGCCTAGAAGCTGCACTTACTGGGTGCACACGCCCTAGAGACTTCTCTGCAACAGGAGAAGTCACCGCAATGAGAAGACTTCGCCCTCCAACTAGAGAAAGCCGCACCCAGCAACGAAGACCCAGCACAGCCATGAATAAACAAATAAGTAATATTTTTTAAAAAATGAAGAAGAGAATTTAAGATAGTAGCAATTTGAAATTTTGGTGGTAAGTTAAAGAACTGTGATAAACAATGATGCTAATGACAGAAGGTGTTTTCGTGATAATCATGAAGATATAAGAGCACACTTAACGTACTGAAGCAGTGTCTTTTTATACTGAATACTTTCTAGTACCTTTGGAAGAACAGCAGGTTCTAAGGATCATCTGTAGATGGCATATATGGCCATGGCACAT